ACTGTTCAAGTGGAACCACCTATGACGTCATCACTTTCCTCATTTGCATAATACAAAAACGTAAATATCTCTAGAACGAAAAAAAATATTCCAAAAATTGAAACACCAATATTCTTTACTTTGAAAACCCTTTCAAATAAGCAGCAATTATTTTTTACTTTATAGGCACTTTAATATCATGACCTTTGTTCACGCAAATTCATTAATAGATTTAATTTGCTTGACCGAGTTGAGTTGCTGAACTCAATCGCACACAATTCAATGGACTGAGTTTGATTGGGTTCGATTTGTTCAAATTTCATATAAATTTGGGTGTTTGATTTCATTTGATTGCTGAACTCAATTGCATTCAATCTACACACTGAGTTGGACTGAGTTTGATTTCCTAAGGGTCAATTGACTATGCCAGAGGATAAAACAACCTAGGTTTGAACACTGACTTGTCATGTTCTCAGAGGAGGAACACTCCATTTTCAAATAATATCTGTTGCTTTCCACGAAAGAGCAGAGTGGGAGCTTAGCTGGTGATCCAACATGTAGTAAAAAAATCCCTAACAGAATACTAACTGTAAGAGCAGAGATCAAATGGACTATCATCTCATCTGGAGAACTGAGAGAAGCACCACTCCAAATGACTTCATGTTACCAAAATTTGGATGACCTACTGTTAGTCTGCAGCATGGGCCTGGGCTGTCATTAAGTTTTAATTCACCTGTAGCCTTGATCTTCACACCCATAGCAAACTTATTACTTTATGGGTGAATTGTATCAACTACATGCAATTTCACCTGTAACATCAAGGGTCCATCAAACATGCTCAGCCATAACAGGTGTTATGGGTTACCGCCATTATTGACAGCCCTGGGCTATACAGGTATGTGCAGCCCCAAACGGTACTGTTTTTTGGCTGTTTTGGTCAGAAATAGGGCATCAGTTTTGGCCATTTTGGTCTCCAATAGGGTATGGTTTTCCACTCTAGTCTTGAATAGCAGGTGATATGGTTTTTTAGAGGAAGCTACTTTTTCATCATTATTGATAAGACCATCAACAAAAGTCCCTTCGCAATGCCTCTCACATTGGTCTGAACTAGGAAACCAATTATAAGACAGGTCTGACACAGGGTTTTGATTTAAGGATCAGGTCTTAATTAAGGTATCAAATTTTTGATCAGGTTATAAAATTAATAGGGTTTTGGAAAGTGCCCCCTCCCCCAGGGGGAGTGCAGGTACCACTTAAAGTATTAATAATATACACATGAGAAAATTACTCGATTCTGATTGGCTGAGAGCAGTGCAGTTCAAGTGAAACACCAGTGCAAAAAGTGTAACACCAGTGCAAAAAGTGTAACACCAGTACAAATTACATATCGCAATTCTAGATTGTGATTGGCTGAGAGAAAATAGAACACAGCAGTTTACTCAACAAAGTGCACCGCAACAGCGCACGCAAAATGACGCGTACTGTCCAATTACAAGCATGACGCATACACTGTCCAACTAATTCTCATATTGGGCTGCTGAAAGCCAATCATGTTCGAGAATTTTGTTATAGTTTTGATTATATGGGTAATAAAACAGAATTTTTGCAAGCCTTTTAGCGCTCAAGTAAAATTTTTCTATCATCAAGTTGATGTTGGTATAGTAATCATCAAATTCAACCACCAATGTCAGATAAAATTTCAATAAATATACATGCAGGCTCCAAAATAAAGAGCATTCATTTTCTTCCAACTTTCACTTTCAGCTCTACTGGCCACGTACTCACAGTACTGTGACCGGCAGAATAACCATGTAACAAAGGAAATTATTATCACCATTTTCCTCTGTTACATGGTTCACTGGCTGTAGGGCCTCGCTATATTCAAATGTTTTCTTATAACTCAAACCGTCAAACACGAAAATCATATCTAATCTTGAGCCATGATTTTGGAGTAAACTGATTCAGAAATTTTATGCCACTGGAGCTTACGTAATCATGTATCAAGCACATGGATGGATGTGACTGAGACAGTATAGCGGCCTTTCGCAACGAAAAGGGGACTTAAAAACATATTCCCGCAGTATAAAAGGGTTTCAGTTATAATCGTAATTGCACACGGTCAGTATAGCTTAGGTCGCCTGTCTTTTAGGGTAGAAAGTTGCGATAAACTTTTTTCCGCAATAAAAAACTGCTGACTCCGGTAACTCGTCAACAGGTTTAAAATAGCACTCTACAAATTTATTACGTGGTGCTGCCGAATTTGTTAGTTAAAGACGTCAATGGTTATGTCTTCTCATTCAAGACAGGCACAATTAAGCTTTAAAAAATCCATTCGGGTCAGTTCGATTATTTGCAACGGTGCAGGGACTCAGTTTGACTGAAAACCCAGCTAAAGTATTAGGTACTGCGAACATGAGGGTTAGTATAATGAAGGTCGGAGGAGCTTTTCTTCTTCTTGTACTCAAGCTCAAAACTCTTCCTACACTGAGCGTGCTTCAGCCCCTGGCTACAGCAGTTGATTTTATTTTAAAAAGAACTCAATCCAGAGACCTCTGCAAACTCTGCACGCCAAAAATGGTACGCACGGGTGGAGAAACATATCGACAAGACACACGAAATTAATAACTTTTGGATATTCCAAGAACATACATTAAGTGGATCTACCAAAAATTCAAATATGAAGCGGTAACTAACGGCTGGTACACTAAGCTTATAACTAAATCGTATTTATGGTTAAAAACAAAATAATATTATCCACTTACCACTGGGCCCCATTACAGCTAACATTTCACCAGGGTGAACTTTCCCGCTCACATTTTGAAGAATTTGCCGATCGTTGATCTTCACACCAAGATTACAGAAAGAAAGGAAAATTGGTACATTCTCTTCTACTTCTTCACTCATTACTTTGCCCTCTTTGATGGAATCGAACCTGTCCGCTGTTCTTAGCTCCGCAACTTTTCCCGAGTACCGTAGTGTGTTTACGAGATTTCGAGGAGAGCTCATTCACAATCACCTCATTAAAATTATTCAAATTCTGATTGGTTCTTCTTGCGACTATTACCCAATCAGATCTCTGAATTTGAAATGTGTCGCCAGCACTGAGAACATACGCGGCCTCATCATGAGCATGCATGAAGGGACGTCATCGATTGTAGCCCTGTGTATGGTGCAATGCAATAAATAAGGGCATTTCAAAATTAAGATTCTGGAGAAAAATTTGTAAGAAAAGAAAGAATAAATCCCTCGATCTACCCACAGCTCAAGAAGGCAAAATTAGTAGAAAATCCAGCGGGAGAATTTCAAACTTAAAATTCACGTTAAGCTGCGTTTTATAATAATCAGTACACGTAATGGGGTGCATGTAAACTGACCGGAAATACACGTATTGCTATTACTGACGTTATGATGGTGCAATTTTTGACGTCCAAGTGCTTAACCTGGAAGTTAAGGCCTTAGGAGCCTAGGTACTAGCTAGCAGAGAGGTCGGGGAGGGGGGGAGAGATAATTTTTTTTCGCTTTTTCTTAACACTACTGCAATTAATCATCTGCTGCATGTTGTGCGATTGTGGAGATGTCTATTTAACAAAGTGACGTCAGTTTTTCATGTGTCTGTCCTGTTATTGATCATGAATTTCGTCATAACGTTGTCAAAGTAGCTGCGGATCCACGAGGCGCAGACTACTTTAACAACGTTATGACGAAATTCATTGTCAATATCAGGACAGACCCATGAAAAACTGATGTCAATTCGTTTTTTACGATAACAAATTGTTAAATTGTCCGTTTTCGCTTGTTGGGGCATCGCATAAATTATAAATTCATGTGTCTGTCCGCTTATTGACAATGAAAATTTTCCGATGCGCGCGCGAGAATTTCTTCAGTTATCGTAAAATGTCGTTTTGACATAAATTATCATGCCATGCGCGGATCTAGAATGAATGGTGACTGATTTCCGAAACAACAAGTAACTTCAAGAGAGGCACAGGACCATGCTCCCCTAAGAAATGTTCTGGCTTTAGTTTCCTAGTCATTCTGAAAAATCTGACCGATTTCTGTAAAACGGTGGAAACTGGTATGGATCCGCGCCTGCATGCTTCCTTGCTCACTGGCGAAATCTCCCGGCAAATACTCATTACAGGTAGACAGTTCATAAAGATGATACTTGCAAGGCCTCACAAGGGCGGGGCGGGGGGGAGGGGAAGGGGAAGGGGGGCACCATTGCTTCCTGAACTGCTAATTCAAAGGATAATTTCTTACAATTAAGAAGGGCATGTTACATGAAGGGATCTTTTCAAAACAGTTAAGTGATGTTTGATAGACTTCAGTTGTCAGGACTACATTTTCTTTGAAGAAAGAAAACAATTTTTTTAATAATTGATCAGAATGCATGCCTTAACAATTTCCCTTGTAGTCATACAGTGTACCTGGCCGTAGCGACACAGTGATCTTACAATTAACATTGGGATTTTTTTTCTCTCTCTCTCTCTCTCTTTTTTTTAGTTAAAAAGAATCGGTTTTAACACTTTCATACGGGACACGACACAAGCAAGCCACTCCGATTAAATGTTCCACTTTCTGACTTTCCAAATTGCAAAAGTTGTTCATTGGTATCCAGTCAAAAGTAAAACGAAACCTAATCGCAACTCGCTCACGAACTTGCGTTTTTCCCGGTTCCCAGGCGCCTTTGCGTTTCGTCGGCGAATAGCGATTGATGGTTAGGTTGCGGCTCCTGGAGCGCGTCCACCTTTTTGTGTGCAACAGACTCCCAACAGACACCGTGCTTCAACCAAAGAGGGACGGCTGGGGGCGAGGCAGCGTTTTCCCAAGCTTCGCACTGGCCATGCATGTTTGCTAGGAGTTTTGATTGGTTTGCGTTATTGTCAGTGCCCGCTGCATGTGATAAGCTAGAGTTGAAAACCACTGAATTCAGTCGGAATTTTTTGAGAGGAATACGCTCTATCTAATCTCTATTTCTACGTCCTTATAATCTGATAGGGAGATCTCTTACGCCATCTTGTGAGTAAAATGATATGGCGTTTACAGCATTATGTATATATGATCTAAAGGTGACGACTCTACTCGGTATGAACTGTTTGAACTTCCAATTATTGAATGAAATGAACTAACTTAATACTTTATCCAGTGTAATTGGCTAAAAATCATAACCGCTACGGATACAGAAATATTTGTGTATATAGAAAATGCCGATTAAGAGGCAAAACTGGCCATTCTCCAACGGTTTATCATAAGAAAAGCTACACTACGAAAACAATTATGCAATCATATATGATTGAGGACTGCAAAACAGATTTTCCAAATATTGCTCCTAGATTCTTTTCAAGTAACCATTCGTATTCCACGTTGCATTGTACCTGAAAAAGAAAAATGTATAGGTTCAAGTTAAATAACCGTTGAGAAAATAAACGTTTTAAGTATGGTCCGCGTGGATGGGATTCCTTAGGCATTGGATACTTTAGTGATCCCCTGGAGGTCGTCAAAACGAGTGGCAAAGGCGAGAGACTTGACTAATAGATAAAGCGAAGGGAAGGGTTTAAACTCTAACGGCCCAAACCACGAGACCATGACGTGCTCCTTCTGCATGCTGATGTCAGTTAACTCTAATTATTCAGACTCTGGTCTAAGCCAGCCGGTTTTCCAAGCGGTGTCTGCAAGATCTGCACTCGCCTACAGTGCGCACTCGAACAGAATAGGGAATAACAGTACTCGAACATTCACCCACATGCTCCTGAGGCGGTTCTAACAAGCAGCCAATCCCTTATTAGAAAGAGAATAGCTTTTAAAGAGGTGTAGTTCCAAGCAATGAAGGCTCTCGTCATTGTAAACAAAACCTCACTGGCAACATGGCTATTTCTAATTCATCTCTTGGTTTAATTAAACATTTTCTCACCCGAAAAAGTCGGTGTATCTTTGATCCACATGATATCTGTCCGAACGACCCTTCAAGAATTTCCTCAGCTCGTTCAGCTTAGCAGGACCGAACTCTGTGAAACCAAGTTCCTTTATAAGACCTTGACCAGATATCGAAGGACCCAATGGATTTGTGTCCTCGACACATATGTAGTCACCAGGCTCCAGGAATGAGTCAAAATACTCCAATACTTTGGTCATATTCACGTGAGCATCCTCCATTAAGAACCACGGGTGAGGTAAATTCTGTATCAAGAAAGCATTAACGCTAATCAATCTCGGTCGTCGGCTAGTGATAAGGGCCTGGATTTATGATCCGTTGTTCCCGGCTTCAATTCAGGCTTCCTACCACTAGATGGGTTTGAGTTCGGTTTGGTCAAGTTCAACTCCTTCACGCTTTGTGGCCAGCCTCCCACTAACTGGGAATTTTTGATAAGTCTTCTTTTCTATTGTAATATTTGTTTCTCAAATGAGTTGTTAGAGAACTGCTCAGGAGTCGCAAAGGTCACGGGTCCAAATCCCGTTCAAGCCAGAATTTGTTTTTTCAAGCTTTATTTTTGCAACTGTCCTGAACTATGTTGATAACTCAGGACAGCTCAGGTAGTATACCTATTCACATTTACACATACCTGTGTACCACACCTTTGCTCTTAAACGACCTAAAAAGTGCCTTTATAATTATACTAATACAAGAGACCATGATCTACCTCATTTTCTCTTGACTAATAACACCATTCCAACATATTTAGACTCTGCTCTTTTTGATCTTCTACGACAGAGAGAGAAGGGATTCCGCCCACTTCTTAAAGCTCAAGATTATCAACGTAACGATCATCAAACAGGTATATAGGTTCAAATATTTCTGCTTTGACTTTTTAGCAACATAGGATGATATTCTGACGGGCTAAAAACGTCATGTTATCCAAACAATCTCCATCTTGGATCCACCATCTTGAATGAACGTCACAAAACCGCCAAAAATAACGCAAACTGAAAGCCATCGCAATAAATAAAACAATGCGATAACGTCTTCAAAAAAGTGCAATGAAATTTCATAATTGGTAAAACATGCCTGCCAAATACAGTGTTACAGTCTCAAAGTTTTCTGATGTCATCAGGTATAAGGGCTGTTCATTAACTGTCAGTCAAACTGCACGTTGTGCCAAAAACATCGAGGAAATTTTAAAACATTTTAATTTCTCTTCCCTTCATGACAGGTCCAGTTTGCAAAAGCGATAAGTGGTTAACATTAATTTGCAATTTAACTTATTCACCTTCAAGAAGTCTCCTGGAAAACATTTTTCGACCTGGGACAAGTCTCCATCAAGGAACTCCACATCCGGCGACTCTCTTGCCACAGCGTCCACCATAGAAAGATCAATGTCGATGGATATCACACGCGACTTGCACCCAAACATTTTTAACACATCTGCTGTCCACAAAGCAGTGCCTCCTTTGTAGGCGCCAAACTCAATTACAGTTCGAGGTTTGAGTTCCCATAGCAACTTCTGGTTTTTTACAAGAGTTAAGGGATCTTTCAGCATTGACACGCCACGCCAACAGGTCATGTATTTTCCTTAGGAAAGAAATAGTGAACGAAATTTAGTAGAAATTAAACGGTTTTCTTTACCGAAATAGATAGAAAATTAAACCTTCCTTGTCCAAGAACTAACAGATTAGATCAAAATTGAGCCATTAAGCGGTTCGATCGTCGCTTTGTTCCGGCATTGGTTTAGTTAATGGAAAACTTTTAGGAAAGAACTAAGGCGTCAATCTAGTTGACAGCAGGTTATTTCTTCTGCGTTGGTTTGATAAAACTCAGCACGCAGCTGAAAGATTATGATCCCGGATCAGAGCTTTACAAGCAGCTCTGTTTGTTGCAAACCGATGAGTTTATATTGTTTTTTTTTTTTCTAAAGATAAACGTGACTATGCTAATGCGAAAACTAGGCGTTTCCAGCAGCCCAGGGGTGAGAAAACTAAAAGAAAATTGAATTTGGAGTTAATTATCATATTACCACGAGATATGGACACCAAAAAGTGGGATCCTAATATCCCAGTGTCTCGCCTTTCTTCTATTGGGACAAATCTGTTTTTGTCATCATTTATTTTCCTGATGTGTTCTTCTAATACCCGGTAGTCTGACGACTCCTCTATATTACTGCCCATATCGTGTTCTAAAAGGAATTAAGTAAAGAATCTGACATGGCTTAGCTCATTTCATTGTCCACTGTTTTCCCCTGTTACACGAAGAAAACAAGTTGACCTGAGCTAGCAAGTATAAGCGGCACAGACAACCCGGCGCACACATCCCATGAGCTACAGTTGAGCCTCCCTACATCGGCCACCCTGGCCACAGAGCAAAGTGGCCGTAGTAGAGAGGTGGCCGTGGGCCTTAGGGGTGTAATATGACACCTGCTTTTTTTCGAGTGTGCAATATTTTTTTACCAAAAATGCTAATTTTAGCATATATAAATCAAACTGTATTAATAAAACAGAAAACAGAGTTCAACGGCGCTCGGTACGGATCGAGTTTGGCGACCTTTTACAATAAAACAAATTGGGTTTTGTACACACCCTTCGTCAGTCGTTGATTAACTGGCCATTTCCGAGAGGTTATCTTGGAAGTTGGGACGAGTTTTAGTGGGCATTGCTGTTGTAGAGAGGTTAAAATAAGAGTGAATGTATGGACTGTCCGCCGGGACCAAAAAAGGTGACCGTTGTAGCGAGGTGGCCGCTAGTGGAGGTTCGACTGTATACAATTAAACTGCAATTCAACATAAACTGAAGATACATAGAAAAATAAAATACCAGTCAGAGGGTGAAACTAGCCCCACCTACTGCTCTTCGGTCAAGAGAGTTTGTAAGATCATAACTCTGTCTGAATTTTCACTGACATACCTTCAATGGTTACGACAAACATGCGCTATTCAAGATAAGCTTTATCAGAATATCGACAGACCACGAAACTCTAAATGGATCAACTTGAATCGCTGATTTGATGAATGAGTGTTTATGCGTCGCTCTTGAATAGTTACCATTCTTAATTAAAATCAGCGATCTAATTTGATCCTTCTGAAACTAGGTGTTTTGTTTTATTTGTCCTTTTCTGGCAGCTTTGAGCGTTTAGCCCTGAAGGATGCAATACAGGTGCGGTGAATCTCTATTGATCGAACACTCTAGGGACCTTTCCCGGTCTCCGCTGAATAGAGGGTGTCTGCGTGAGGGAAATTTGTTAAGGTTGCACAATATTTCTTAACGATGCAAATTAGGTTGAAAATTAGTTTGGTCTTAGTAGTATACAAGCTAATGTGTTTATTTTACAGTTGCTAAGGTCATCATATCCTTGTCACGTATGACTATGTTCAGCCGGAGAGTGTATGTTCGTTGTGTTTCATTTACCTTAAATGGAAATGAGTGACATGCTATCAAATGTCAAGGAGACCACGCGGGAAGTCTTGTTTATTTTATTCGCCATGGTTGTATTTCATATACGTAGTCAAACATAGTCTCCATTTCCTTCGCTCGCTCGAGTCCGTTCTACGGTCCTCCCCGAGAGTCTGGGGGAGGAGAAACAGCGGCTGGTAATCGAGCGTAGGTCAAACAGTACAAGAAGTTTATAACCCCGGCTTGGCTCTTCGTGTCAATAATTCCTGCAGGGGAATGACACGACTTCTATTTAAGGTGGCTCAAAACAGTTTCCAACACTTAGATTTTGATGGGTCGTTACAACCACTCTTTATCACTTGGTGTTACAATCATGCTATTAAAAAATACTACCCAGTCATTGGTGAACACGTTGTTATCATTTTCGTGACACAATAGGTTACCATAGCAACAGTATGACCTCCCAAAACACCCTTAATTAAAGCTTTAGGGGCTTACAATTCAAAAACGGCTCTGT